TTCATAAATGTCAAATAACTGATACAGATCGTTCCATCCAGATTCCTGTATTAAATATTAATATTTATCACAATATTAGGTATTTATATTTATATTTATATTTAGATTTCACTGCTGCTACTCTACTTCCGTTCGTTAACTTCTCTCGCTAAATTTATCATTCAGTTCCTATTTCCAAATTCACAGAAATATAAATTTCTATTTTATTCTTCGCTGTTATAAAATCGCGAAGAATACGAATCTGCGTAATCTACGTGATGAACAACTGGCGACCGATAACGGATCACCCTGCAAATATAATCCTTCTCTTCGCGCATAAAGAAGGATCATGAGGACTGCTGCCTCGTTCGACTTACCGAATCCGGCGCTCGACGCGATATCAAATTAGATTTCATCGATTTTGTACGGAAGAGAAAAGGAGAAACGAGAGAGAGAGAGAGAGAAAGAGGAAAGAGGAAAGAAGCGAATGAATATGAAAAGGCGATCGACAGGCCGTGGATGGCTGATTGAATCGTCGGATGAATGACGGGCGTGGGCACGTGAAAGTGAGCCCCGGACGCTTCGTGGGATGTTGCCCTCTTCTTCGAGGTGTGGTCCGTCTCGCGTGGGATATGCAACCGACCGGATGGTAATGACCTGGTTGACAATCGCGAGGCTAACCGTCAAATTACATGAATCATTCATTTATCGATCAAGTCGATCGAGTTTCCTTCCTTCGTGCTGCTTTATCTTCCTGATAAAACTTCTCAGAGAATTAATCGATGGGATTTATTACACGTTTTTATGATAGTTCCAGCGTTTAGTTTTGCTTGCCGGCTTTGAGTCTTGCTTTTTGAAAATAATAATACGTAACCGTTTAAATAACAATTCTTTGTCCAAATAATAATGTGCAATTGTGTTGTTTTATTTTCTTCGACGTTATCTACTTTGATCACCAAGGAATTAATCGATGGGATTTATTACACGTTTCTATGATAGTTCCAGCGTTTAGTTTGGATTGCTTTCTACTTTTTGGTAGTTTTTCTTTTTTTTTTTTTTTTTAAGTAATATATAATTGTAAGTTTACAGATTAGATTTTCGTAAGTTTATTGGTGTCGGTTCGGATAAATTTTCAAACATTTCAAGTATCGAATGCTACTCTTGCAGACTCTGTCATTTCGAGATGACATATTCCTTGGAGAATTGTCCAAGTTGTTAGCTATTCACGAACATCGTCAAATCAAAATTACGAGACTGCGTTCTTAGTTATTTTCAGATATAAAAATACTTTGAATAACGTTACGAACCGTGTTACGAAATGAAATCATTCCAACTACATTAAATTACATTATCAAATTTAAATTCATTTAAAAATTATGATAATCTCAGTCGCACGATAAATTATGATCATCCAAGTGTCGATCGTAGTATATTAGAATATTTAACAAATATTTAATAGAACAAATTACGAGCAGCAGCTGCTGCTGCTACAATTCTCCAAAAGAATCTGTCAAAAAAAAAAAAAAATCACACGGGACGAACGTTTCTGATAAAGAACGAATCGTTCGAAAACGATTTCACGTTCGGCGAAAGATCAATTCTAACCAGCTGGTGGGATGATCGATTATATAATCGGCGATAGTCCAGGAACTTTAAATAGCGTGGCGCGTAACACGTGGGACGTGTGCCACTAAGCTGCTTTCGCGTACCAACTCGCTATACTTTTCTCCAGCGAACGTGAACCGTACACCACCGGCGTAATTTATGCGCGTTGGTCTGGTTTGCAAGCGGCGCCTAGCGGAGCCGACAAAACAGAGAAAATAAAGGCGATCCGTTTCGTTGAGGTTTGCTCGATCAGTAGCGTTGGGAGCAAGAGTTTCGCGAACAAAATGATCCAAGGAACGAGTCACTTCCTCCGCGAGATTCGTATGAAAATACCATCCTTACAAACCTTTTAGGTTCACGATTGACTGGATACTGACGATCGAAATCTTTCTGATCACTTTCGTAGGTTCAAGTTATAATATTAACGTAGTAATTGTAAATGTTGAAATTGAAATATGTAACAGAACCTCTCATTTTTCGGATATTTTAATGTTCGACATTCCGATAATCTAATTATAGTGTATTAAAATATTCGAAAAGTAGAGATTCTCGAGAAATTTTTTGTTTGTCGAATGTTTGAAAGTTTTACTAGATGGAAGAAAAATTTCTATATTATATTATAAATTTTTTATATTATATTATATTTTATATTATATTATAAATTTTTTATATTATATTATATTATATTATATTATATTTTATATTATATTATAAATTTTTTATATTATATTATATTATATTATATTATATTTATTTTTATATTATATTATAAATTATATTATAAATCTTTTAGAAAAATTTCTGTTATATTATTATTTTTTTATACTACTATATTAATTTCTATATATATTATATAATATAATAAAACGTTCGATAAATGTCCTGCAATTTTCAAAAATCTTCTAAACATCGCAGGGCGAAGACGATCCTGCAGAGGGTGAACCATTCCAACATTTCGCCGTTTTCAACGTTTCTATCGCGATCCGAACAGGGTTGAATTTTTTCGATACTAGTCTGAAAACGGCGGACATTAATAATGATATTGAATCGAATTCCACGGAGCCGAAATGTCAACGTCGCGTTAAAGGTATAATACATAGTTTAGGTTCGCAGCCAGTCGGAGATCGTATCGATACCAGGATTTATAATACTCGAGGTGCAACTTGTACTTTCTACTCTTTCGGCGATGAATTTTACGCCTCGAGCAACGGCCTCGGCGCACTCTGGCCACCACGCTTGAAAATTTATGTCTTCGGAATAAAGGTTCTAAGTGTTCGACATCGCATTTGGTTATCCAGCGATCCGGCTTCGTCGACAGATCGTATCCCCGTCAACAAGGGACGTCCATTATGTCAATTCGCCACGCTAATCTCTCACCACGTTCGCTCGTTAAAGACCAATAAACGAATTAACGTATAAAAATGGCATAAACCTGGCATTGCGAGTGGTAAACCTGATTTCTCGAAAAAGACACTTCGTTTGTGTGTGTTAAATGGGCGTTGAGTAACACCTGAGGTTTATTTGGAAATAAATGAAATTATCTTATGAAACTGCGCAAAAATGGACTCTAGTTTTAAGAAACCGAGAAGCTTGATTAAATTTCCTCGCAAGAAATAATGTAAATTGAACTAATCCTGATTTCAGAATCTCGAAATCGAGTTTGGTCAAATTTTTAAAATTTAAATTTTAAATTAAATGCAGTTGTATTTTATGAGACGTATAAATATTATATATAATATAACAATATTATAATAATATAATATAATATATATAATATAATAATATTATAATAATATAATATAATATATATAATATAATAATATTATAATAATATAATATAATATATATAATATAATAATATTATAATAATATAATATAATATATATAATATAATAATATTATAATAATATAATATAATATATATAATATAATAATATTATAATAATATAATATAATATATATAATATAATAATATTATAATAATATAATATAATATTATAATTATATATATTATATTAATATTATATTATTAATAAATAAATATTATATTATATTATATTACGTAAATTTACAAATATTTATACAAAACATTTTAACTATAACGTAGAACAAGTACATTGAAGCTAAAGAGAAACAGCTCCTAGATTGATTTTAGCTTCGTCCCGAGTCGGCGTCTTTCAATCAATTGTTGGTCAATTGAGCAACGACTGGAGCAAGGGATGACAAATAAAATTTCATTTGTTCGTACTAAATTCACGTGATTCTTTCTGCGACCTTCACGTCCTCGAGTTCCAAGACCAAATTTCCCAAATTTCCTCGAGCGAAGAGTACCCAAAGTATAAAAAGTATCGTTTGAAAGCGAGTATCAAATATATATAATAACAAGATGTGTATTTGTTAAAAAGAAAAGAAACGGGGGAAAGATAGAGGAGAAAAGAAAAGGGAAGGAAAGTCGAGAGCTCGCGTGGGTGTATCACTTTGTTCGAGTATGGTTTCGGTGAAACGAGAAAGAGAGAAGCGTAGGGGTTCACCAAGCTGGAGGATTCACGAAACCGCGGCGGTCGTGTTCCTCGGATGATCGATCTTGTAAGCCAGCAGGATCTGTCGCGAACGTTAAATATTATGCTAATGAACCGCCGCGTTCTTAGTTGATTTCCGATGTCGAAATGGTAGCGTGCCCGTTTTCGATCATCAGTCATCCGCCTTAGCAATCGTTTGTTAGAGGCTAATTCAATTGTCGCTTGGAATAGTCGACGATTTACGATTTATGACTCCTCGGATCAACGAATCCCCGATTATTCGTCTGAACAGAAAATGCACTTGACTGAAGTTTCGTTGAAACTTCTAAAGGAAACTTTGAATAATTTTTCTCGTCGTTAATTCCATCACGAACTTGAAAATTGAAACTTGCTTTGACTGCTAAACGACGAAATATTTCTAATTCTAATAAAATTCAATAAAACACAATAAAATAGTAAAAAAAAAAAAAAAGAAAATCGTACAGAAAGTTTCAAAGGATTGTTGTAAAGAAAAAATTTCAATCTTTGAGACCGTAGTGGATAAGATCGAGTTACGAAAGAAATTTCTCAGCGTTTCTAGAAAATTTCCAGCAGAAATGTTTGAATTTTTACAATTTTCGAGAATAGAGGTATCTATCTTTACTTTTTCATCCGCTATGTGAGACGAAGGAATGTTTGAAGAAAAAAGAGAAATAAACGAACTGTCGACTCGAGTGTCTTTGAATGTTTTTGCAATGTATCACAAATAGAGAATGATTCTTATCAACGATGAAAACGGTGTATTGTCAATATCATAATGATGAGAGTGATCTATTATAAATAGAAAATAATTCTACAACGATGAGAGTATCCGAAAAATAGGAAGATATATAAAGGAGATAAGAATAATGTTCTTACCGTGCTCATCAGGACCAAAATGTAGCTGAGCAAACCATCGCCGTGGTACTTTTTCATCTCCGCGTCCGCCGCCACCATAATCTCGATGAAATATTCACTTGACAAGGCTCTACGTGGTCTCCAAGTCACGGAGGGATCCGATTCCATTTCCGAGTCCTGGCTATACTCCTCGCTAAGATCATTTCGTCTTCGCTCCACGGAGTAGTATCTGTAACATTTTAAACGGCCATCTTCTTAGTTTTCGACACCGGAGAACTAGGATATTCCGGAGGTATCGAGCGTTCACACGGTCACAGTGACTCATTCAGTGACTCGTGTCACTGTAATTTATCGTCGGGTCAAACGGTCATCATATTTTTGAAGATGTCCTCTTCAAGGGAGGACGTCATGTGAATCTCTAGATTTTATTTATTGCTAATTCCGTTCTTTTTTAGACAGGAATATTTTGAAACGAAAGATTCTTTGAAATATTATTTATATTTATATTTTATTTTATTTTGTTTTATTTTGTTTTATTTCATTTTACTTTATTTTATTTTACTTTATTTTATTTTTTTTATTTTATTTTACTTTATTTTATTTTACTTTATTTTATTTTACTTTATTTTACTTTACTTTATTTTATTTTATTTTATTTTATTTTGTTTTATTTTGTTTTATTTTACTTTATTTTATTTTATTTTATTTCATTTTATTTTATTTTATTTTATTTTATTTATATTTGAAATATTTTAAATTCTATGAATCTCATAATTAGAATTCTATATTATATGTTATAATTGATAAATGACGTTAAATTAAAAATAGTAGAATATACAATTAACCATTGTGAAACCACAATATGACTTAAAATTCTGACCGGATGAGACGACTATTTCATACTGCGAGAAAATCGAGAAAGTTCGTTCAAAAGAACCATTTTTTTTTTGTCATTACCGAAGCTGAACCGATGAACTGCATTGTCTATCAAAAAGTACGGGAAACCATGTGACGTGTGATTTCTTCTCGTTACGCAAACAGGCGAGGATTAATACGATGATCAGTCTCTGCCTGCGTTGAAAGTTACTCATTTAGCAACTGTTATTCTCGATGGTAATTTACTGTCGTATCAGACGTACATCGTTCAAACATATTCTTAATTGATCATTTGCATTGGTCGTGAAATGTTTCGTTTAGCTTTCTAGACAGCAAATTTCTCGTAATTTCGTTTTTCTTTTTTTTTAAATAAAATTTACCTATGCTCCTTTTGCTCAATATTATCAAAATATCGTCATTTGCATAAGTATTACTGGAAAGATATTTCCAGGCAGCTTGATCAATACTTCAAGCATCGTCATGAAATTAAATTTTAAAATAAACACTGCAATCATTGTAATATATGATTATAAAATTAAGAGAAGCACGAAAGTCGTTCGTAAATGAAGAACGAAGGAAACTTCAATTCTTGTAGTTAAAGAATTAAACGAAACAATCGTCGATCCCGTCGTTAATTAATAATATTTTGTAAAAAATTCCCGTCACCCATGATTCTTCGATTACACCGAGAAATTCGATTTTCAGCAGTCGTCCATCATCGCCGTCAGCGTTTCACGAGGCACCCCTTTCATCTGTTTCTTCCTCGAGTTACATCAAATCGCGCTTAAACCCTCGCGGACATCCTTGCGAGTTTAACCGGCCTTAACGACGGCAATCAAAGAAAGACTGGTTGAAAAGAAACGGTTGATCACCTGGCGTCGTTCCGCAAAAAATTTCGATGCCCCTCGGCTTGTCCCACGAACTGCTTGTACACGTCGTCGTCTCGGGAATGTTCCGCGGTCTTCCTCTCAGGTAGTGGAGATCTACGCTTGCGGCGTTGACCGTCAAAATAAATTTTACCGCTCGACAACTCCTCCAAAATTGGCGTTGCGCCGTCATCTGTGAACAAATAGCAAACGTGAATTTGGTCGTGGCATAAATTAATTTGGTCTGAACGTGAGAGAAATGAATGAGTGTCTTGTTGTTTAGGAGAAATATAAATATAAATATAAATTAATAAATAATAATAAAATATAAATATATAGTAGAATAAATATAAATATATAATATAATATAATATAAATAATAATAATTATAAATATAAATTAATAAATAATAATAAAATGTAAATAATATATAATATAATAAATATAGTATAATAAATAATAATAATTACAAATATAAATATAAATTAATAAATTATAATAAAATATAAATATAAATATAATATAATATAATATAAATAAAATATAAATATAAATTAATAAGTAATAATAATTATATATATAAATATTAATAATATAAATAATTTATATTGCGAGGTGTATTTTAGAAATGTTCTTTTCCTTTTTGTTCTCAATGTTCTCTAGAGATTTGTGAAATTGAGAAATTTCAAAAATCTCGGAAGATGCCGACAAATATATTTACTTAAAGAATTTATATAATAAAGCTAACGATCTAATCTAAGAAGGATTCTATCTATTTTTTGTATTCTATCTTTGAAATTTCTTAATTTTTAATTTCACGTTATTGAGATATCATAGTTTCTTTTCACGAAGGATATATGTTAGGACATATTCTTCCTTTGAAACGTCCAATTTCTAATGACTTATAAATTGAAGATAATTGATATTATTAAGTACGTTTGCAGGATATTCTCATTTTGCAAAATTGATTTTGTAATCTACGATTGATATTTAGATCTTTGATTATACACATATTAAATATAAATTATAATTTTTATCATGAGAACCAAGGTTCGAAACAACACTGAAGAGACCCTAAAGTGGAAAATAATGCTCCGGCATTTAGGGGTAATTTTCTCGATTAATCCTATGGCGGAAATTCCGAATTGAATATTGAGAGCTTGCAATGAAGTCATTCACATAAACGAACGTTCTACTCCGTCTCTCTGAAAAGTGATTTCCATCGTCTTGTCGGATGTAAATTATTAATCATTCGCGAGATGAAGTGATGCACGTTCAAAGTAATTGAGCGAATCTACGATGTTAGAACATCCTCACTTTCTGTAGTTGATTAAATTACACTTGCGCGTAGGATAATTTCGAAGATCATTCAAATTTACGAAACGAGTATATTGAACATTTTCGAAATATTCTAAAATCATTTCAGGAGTTGTTTTTTAGGAATTTTGCAACTTTCATCTTCGATACTCGAATTCTTTAGAAATTTATAGTACCTAAAGTGAGTTTGAAGTGTTTTTAAATATTTAAATCTCAAATATTTCAGAAACTTTGAAAATTTTTCACAGTGAAAGTATATATGATATAAAGGATATAAAATAATAATAAACAATAACATATAATATCAAGGAATACAATGTATATAATATAAAGGATATAAAACAATAAAGAATAACATATAATATCAAAGAACATAATATAACAAAATAAGAATGATAAGAGTAATAAAAATTTATTAATAACAAAGAATACAACACAATAAAAAAATAAGAATAATATAAAGAAAAATTTTTAAACTGTACTACAATCTTAAATAAAATACCAATAAATGGAATGATAATTTTACAATCCTAATCCAGAGATCAGCAGCATCCTCCACTTTAGAAATCCAATCATAAAACACGAAAGAATTTCAAGAATCACCAAAATATTAACTTAGGTATTAACTTAGCCATCGTAAATTTTTCGCAAAGCGAGAAGAATCGTAGGAGCCTCGAATTCCATGGAAAATGGCTAATAATACGTCTCTCTCGCAATACCAATCGTAAATCGATCCTCGACCGCTAAAGCGCGAACGCACTCGCTCGCTTTTAATTTAATTGCACGTGTGACTTCACCGCTGGATTTATCATGCGATTTTCTCCGAAGTGAAATTTTTAATGCCGCGGCGTTGATCTTCGACGGCGAGGAAAACGGTGGAACAGCAGAGGACAAAAATGTCGTTGTTTCGTGGCGTGTAAAAAGTGCAGGTCGGATATCAACCGTCAGACAAAAGCACAGCTGTTCACCAGGCAGCCTATATATTGTATCGAAGAATCATGGCAACGATTATACACGTCTAATTGAATGTGCAGTTGACACTTTGAGAGAGATCGATGCGGTCTCACTGTTTCGCTCATTCGCACTTGATTCATCTTGATGTCCTTCGTGCTTTTTATGCGCGAGTACATATCTGATCATGGGACGCGTGATCGTTTTTCTCCCTTTCATTTTTTTTTTTTTTTCATCGCTGGACTACGGATTTTTATACTGATATTTACATATGTATATTCGTACGTGTACGATTAAAGAATAGAATTCAAATTTTATTATTAACGAAGTTGCACTGTTACACATATATTATAGAATAATATTAATAAATCAGCTTTGTCATTAAAAAACAAAGTTTCAATAAAAAAATTTGGTAGTGTAAAATTTTCAAAGCAGAAAAATTTATATTAAAAAAATATTATAATATATATGTTGTAGAATAATATTAATAAATTAGCTTTGTCACTAAAAAAAAGGTTCAATAAAAAAACTTGGTAGTATAACATTTTCAAAGCAGAAAAATTTATATTAAAAAAATATAATATATATATTATAGAATAACATTAATAAATCAGCTTTGTCATTAAAAAACAAAGGTTTAATAAAAAAAACTTGGTAGTGTAAAATTTTCAAAGCAGAAAAATTTATATTAAAAAAATATCATAATGTATATATTGTAGAATAATATTAATAAATCAGCTTTGTCATTAAAAAACAAAGGTTCAATAAAAAAACTTGGTAGTGTAAAATTTTCAAAGCAGAAAAATGTTTTCACTCTTGGAGTTAAGTAGTTTTAAAATCTACTATATCGATGACTGAAGCATAAAATTTCTACCATTTCTAAAATTGTATTTCACAAAATGATCTGATTTGAATCTCTGAAAACACTGTTTCACTTTTTTGTAAAGTTTTAAACAAAAATTACGAAGCTAATTCTAGCGTTAACGAGCTCTAGAAATCACAAGTATCCTACTTTGGATATTTTACAGATCTTCATACTTTCGTGCTATTTAAATTCTGCATTTTTCGGAATTTTTCGAACATCTACAAAATATATACAATATGTAGGATATAAAATATTGCAATAATTAATGGACGAAACTGAAAAACAAATTTGTCTTTAATTTCTTCAATCACACAAATAGAATTATCTCTATAAAACTGTAACATGATTATTTGGAAAACGACAACGAAAAATGGAACATCTCTTAACGAAATCACGTGCAAAGAAATAATTTCCAAATGAAAAACGTACGAATAACAACATTTCGAAGCTGAAGAACACTCGTATCTCTCGCGTTAGGAATCGTACTGCAATCGTACTATTATCATTTTTACAGAAGGAGCAAAAAAAAAAAAAAATTGATGACAAGTGTGATAACTCTACAAAGTAGAATAGAGGATTTTGTATCACACAATCGTTGCGCACGTGTCGATGAATCACAGCTGAACGGTTGCTTAATGATTTCGTTAAATCGATTAGCCTGGATCGATTAAGCATTCATCTGATCGTGTGTATGCACGCCTCATGGTTCCGCGTGTCGAGATTGCGGTATTGATAAACAGCCAATGTCTGCAGCCCGTAACCATGAAATGGAAACCATGAAATGCAAACCATTCCAACAGATCTCCACTGTACGATGCGTTCGCATCGTATTTGACGTCCGAAGGTTCGTTTCAAATTTATGCTACTCAGATATTTCGCTCGAAGTGCTAATTCTAGAAACAATGATCGTACGTGCACTCACGAAGGAATATTGTTTTTTTGAACGCGTTCCATCTTTCTGGTAATTTTTTTTTTTTTTCAAATTCATCAGAAAATGGAATTCGCGAAGAGCATAAGAAGTTGTACTGTTACAGAGTAATATATTATTAATATATAATAATGTTATAATATATATATTATGGAATAATATTATTAAATTAGCTTTGTCGTTAAAAAAAGGTTCAATAAAAAAACGTGGCAACATAAAATTTTCAAAGCAGAAAGATTTATATTAAAAAAATATTATAATATATACGTTGTAGAATAATATTAATAAATTAGCTTTGTCATTAAAAAAACTTGGTAGTATAAAATTTTCAAAGCAGAAAGATTTATATTAAAAAAATATTATAACATATATATATTGTAGAATAATATTAATAAATTAGCTTTGTCTAATAAATTAAAAAAAAGGTTCAATAAAAAAAACTTGGCAGTATAAAATTTTCAAAGCAGAAAAATGTTTTCGAACTCAGAACCGAGTAGTTCTAGTAAAATCTACTATACCGATCAACAATTACAATAGTACATCTTATAAAAAAAATCCTCTACTACAATAATGATGCCAGTATCATAGAACACAATTCTTTCTCGTTGTGCGAGTAATAGATTTTCTGAATCCATTGAAAGTGAGAACGAATTTCTCATAAAATAATAAATGAGAAACAAAAGGACACTCCGCACGAAACGAAAGAAAATAAAAATCGTGAAATCCCACGAGGTACAAACCCGTACAAACAAACGCATTCAAAACGTATAATAATAACCGCTTGTCCCATTACCCTAAACGGCGAACAGATCGTCTGTTTAACAGAGGAGGCCCTTTAACGAACCAACAGATCCACGATATAATTCGCTAACGACATAATAACGCTCGTCAAAGGAGCAAACGAAAGAAATCGCGATGTTGGAGGATGTTCTTTCGAAAACCAAGCCCTCGGGTATATCGCGGGCCGCGTCTCGACGCCAGGCATCGTGTCTTCAATCGTCGAAAAAGAAGAAAAAGAAGAAGAAGAAGAAGAAGAAGAAGAAGAAGATAAAAAAAAATAACCCTTTACGTTGCGGTAGGTCCACGAAGGAATGCACTTTCATGCAATCGTAATGACAGCTTTATTGCTCGG